TTCTTTTCTTCGATCTCCTGTTGAGTTTGTAGGTGTTCAGAATGGTTTGATCCCTATCCAGCTGAATTCCTGAGAGGAGACGAAATCCAGGTCTCCGACTCCTCCGCCATCTTGCTCTGCCCCCTCATAAATGAATTCTAAGAGTAATTTTAAGAGTAAATGCCCTATTACATGTTTCCTGTGGCAACTTCCGGCTGTTAAAGTCCATGGACCCCAGAGTCCACTGCAGGCCCCAAGTCTGGGTTGAATACCAGCTTAGCCCCACACACACAAAAAAAGCACAGTGATATTGTCCTTCAGTGTCCACTGTGAGGAACAACTGAAATAACGTATATGAAAGAACTCTGCAGACTGTTAGGATCTCTGCAACTCTACATGCTGTCAAAGCACCACCATGTAATATATGCAACAATTTTTAGGAAAAATCCCTTCACTTTCAAAAATAGTCTGTGCAGCTGAACAACAACATGAAGAACCCAATTTCAACCCATCCCTGTCCAAGGCTAACCCCGTCTGACAAAACCACTCCCTAGTTAGAAGAGCCTCGCTGTAACCAGTTATTTGCTATTGAACTATCCTGGTTTTATCTCTGTTATTGCACTTTTCATAATCTATAGTTACTTTATGATGTTTGATCACGAGAATGCCAACCCCAAGGAAACCAGAAATCCTATCCATTGTCTTCATTCTCTCCCTTCTAGCCCTGAGCACTCTAAGGACAGCAAAGTGTTCAATACACATCTGTTGAATACAGGAACTTAATTTTAATACAAAAAGTAAAACTATCTCTATAAAATTAACTTACCTTCTAAAATTATGTTTGAATCTTCTACAGCATTATCTAAAAAAAACAAAAAACACACATTTTATATTAACTCACACTAGATTCCTAAATTAATTTATCTCTACTAAGGTAACTAAATTTGGCTCTTTTTAGACTGCGGGTTTCTTATGAAGACTCGTAAGTATTTATATTAGCATATCAACTTTAATTCCTAGATTATATTCAAAGAATACATCAAATAGGCTGACATCATCCCTGATGACATAAAACTTGCATCATAAGTAGGGAATAAACATATTGACAATATGCAATTACTTCCTTGGAGACTTGAAAATGTCTTGTATTTCCTACTACATCTATCTTTGTCCCACAAGTTATCTGAGTTTTAATAAATACAAGGGGGGTGGGGCTGATTGCAGGAAACACCCGTTTAGAGAAAAAGCTTACCTGAACTTTCTAGCCCTTCATTTTCCAATGGCTCATATACTAGAAAATACACAGAAGAAATAATCCTTTAGGACTACATTAACTCTCACTGTGACACAACATTCGCTGTATGGTTTCATGAGGAGAGACAATGTCTACTTCATCCTTAAACCCCTGGGCTTAGTCACTGGGAAGTAGCAGGCTACAGAGTAGGGTGGGGAAGAGTCTGGTGTGGAGTCAAACACGCACAGATTCAAAGTCCAACTCAGTCACCTTTTAGTCACAGGAGATGGGCAATTACAAACACTTTCTTCATGTAAAATGGGGGAAATTAAGGTTCTTCCCCAATCACTTGTTATCAGGATCCAAAATCTGTTTACTTCCTGGTGGCACTGAATTTCCCTTTTCTATTTTTTCATGTCTGCAAAGGAGAATTCTGAGCTTTACCAGGCAGATTCTCTATTTGTTTAGGGAACAACTCTCAGATCTGCCACCTGGGGGCAAACACTGCTGGTGCCAGCCCCTCAGAGCGAGGGTTCTGCTGGCAGACTGTGAACTCACTGCCCTACCCATGGCTCAGGGCCCATCATTTCTCCTCGTTTACTTGCATGGGGCTCAGTGGCTCTGTGCTCTGCTACAAAGGAGGCTCTGGTCTCTTCTCTCGGGCGCGGCTGGGTCACAGCTTTCTTGGGTCAACCCAATCCCAGCTTTATCAATTCTCCAAAATGCCTCAAATTTTCTGGTTCACTTAGAGTGAGCTTTCTTATTTTCCTAGCACAGTTATCAATGTATTCTTTACAATCATTTACTAAAGAAAATTTATTAAGCACCTACTATATTTCAGATGCTATTCTCAGTGCTAGGTAGAGTAAGGGACCATTTTTAACCCATCATCTCCTGTCCTTCTGGTGGTACTGGTAAGACAGAGGAGCAGCGCTTGGTTGCTCACTCTGTCACTTTGAACTGTTTTGTATTTAAACACGCTCACGTCTCTAGCAACTTAAAGAAAAAAAAGCCCTTTCTTGAGCCTGCTTCCCCTTGCCCCACCTCTCCCCTCCATTTCCCAATCTCATTTCTTCAAAGACTCGTTCACATTCGCTGTCTCACCCCTCACTTCCTTCCCCAACTACTGCCATCTGTCTTGTGGCCCTGACTCATCCCTGCCAAGGCTCCTCCGAGACCACCTCGTTCCATCTAGTGGATGATCCACCTCACCGAGTTAGATCTCTCAGCAGCTCCTTCCTTCTCAAACACTTCGGTGTGACCGTGTTCACCTTCAATTCCTTCATTTCTCCTTCTCAATCTTCATCACCTGTCCTAGTCCTACCAGGCATGAAATGTTGGCTTTCATCAAAGGCCAGCCAGAGACTCCCATCCCCTTACACTGTCCTCCCTCCATAAGTGATCTCGGCCTCTGGCTTCGATTATCTTGTACAGACTCATGACTCCCAAACTCACAGCCACTAATGAGAGGTCTCTGCTGAGATCCAAGCACTACCAGTTGGCTTATTACATATCCCCCTGGATGTCTCGACACACACTGTCAACACACACAGACTGGACTCACGGTCTCTTGGCCCCTTCCTGTTTTCCAGTCCTGCCTGTCTTAGGGAAAAAGCACTGCCATCCATCAAGGGCACGAGCCAGAACGGTGGACAGGGTTCCTGACACCTTACTCTCTCCCCCAGCTACACCCACACATCACGCGCCCTGTCAATTTTATCTCCTTACATTTCTCAGCTTGTCCGCTACCCTTCACTGCCACCACTCTGGCTGAAACTACTTTATCTCTGTCCACCTTCATCTGTGTCCACTGAAAATGGCTCCTGCCAAGGTCACCGGGAGGCTGCTGTCGTACTAGATCCAAGGCATGTGTTCAATGCTCACCTCACGTGGGTCCTCAGCAGCATGGGACACTGTTGAACATCCCTTTACTGAAACTCATCTCCTCTGACTCCTCTTTTGGCAGAGATGGGACTCAGGGCAAGATCATATCGGGATAATGACACTAAACTAACTGGTCTCCCCATATCCACTCTTGTCTCTCTCCAGACTATTTGCTACACATCAGACCGATCAATCTTTACAAAATGCATATCTGATTTTGTAGCGCCTTGCACAACACCCTGAGGGTAGGTGAACATCCCTGACTAGCTCTAGGCATCCTCTGGAGCCCAGACATAGTGCAATCTCAGGCTAGATTAGACTGCCAGCACTCCAGACATATCTTCCCACCTCAGAGGCTTCTTACGACATTCCGGCCACATTTTCCCCTTGCCTTGGCACCTCCAACTTCAGGGAAGCCTTCCCTGGTCCACAAACTAGGTAGGTCTCTTCACTATATGCTCTTGTTAACACACCGTCCCTGTTCTCACCAGCACTTAGCACAATTGCGAGGAAAAACACTAAATTGAAGCTCTTTGTGTAATTTCTCCCCCCCCACACCTGCCGCTAAAATATAAGGCCCATAGGAATATGGACTATGTATGTGTTCCTCACTGGAACTGCCCCAGTCCTGTTTTAGACATAAAATAGTTAATATATATGCAGTACATGAATATATCAATCAGAAGGTGAGACGGTACTGTCATTTCCTAGGTATATCCAATGTAGGCTTGATGCTTTCTAGATTTTTAATATGAAAGCTGGTTACCTCCATAGCTTTAATAAGCCACATGTCTTCCAGATTCTAGATGTAGGGAGTTTAATACAGAATATATTCTGTTCTTCTACTGAAAAATGATTTTTTTTAGAGATTTTATTTATTTATTTGACAGAGAGAGAGACCGCAAGAAAGGGAACACAAGCAAGGGGAGTGGGAGAGGGAGAAGCAGGCTTCCTGCTGAGCAGGGAGCCCGATGTGGGTCTCGATCCCAGGACCCTGGGATCATGACCTGAGCCGAAGGCAGACTGAGCCACTCCGGCATCCCTGAAAAATAGTTTTATTTTCACCCTACTTACAGCTTCACTTACATATGTTCACTTGGTTTCCCTAGCCTGGTTCCTGAATGTTACAAAGGTATCTTTTTAGAACACAGTGAATAATCCTATTAATAATTCTATTAAATCCCTTTTGTTTGAAAAAGTTTAGGTTCTACGGCAAGGTAATCTAAAGTATCTCAAAATCTTGTGATCCAAAGCGTCTCAAATTTTGATGACCCCTTAGGTCCTATTTATTACTCTTTTTTTTAACATGTTAAATTATATTTATTCTGATATTCTGCCTATGAAAACACATTTATTTTTACAATATCTTTTTTTAACACGGTATCTAATTCTACACTTCTTTCAAGTTTGATTTTAAAGTTCTCTGGATCTAGCTTGCAAACTGCCTTCCAAACATGTTCTTCCTAGCATATTTAGACAAACACTATAATGAGTCGCAGAAATTAGAAAATTATCTCAAGTCTCATCTCTACATATAACTTTTAATTTCCAAATTCCTATTTTCTCCCTTAAATTTGAAACTGAAAAGAAAATCTAGATGCAATCATAGTGGCCAAGTTATTTCTTATAAAAATACTAGTTCTTAAAGACAGAATCCAGGATGCTTCCAATGGCATCATTCATATCCCATTAGAAATAGCCACCGTGACTGGTCATCTTAGTAGGACCTTAAATCTTAAATACATATGCTTAATAAATTAACATATCAGGTTTATACACAGCCACTCCTAATTTTCTTCAACTGAGAACCACCAACTGTCATGAAACCATACATTTCTTGACAGTAGGATTCCATATTGCTCCTATTTGAATGTCAAGCCCCCAAACCATCCAGCACATAGAAAGTCCTCCATATTTGACTCAAGCACTATACATTTCGTCCTTCTCGCATCACACATGAAGTTATGCTCAACTGACTTCTCTCCTTTTACAGTCATCCGTGAATGTGGCGGAATAAAAATGACATACCTTGGCTTTATCATTTCTTAGTCATATCAACTTATGCAAATCACTTACATTGTCTGAACCTTATTTCCTTCTCCTGGAAGTCGCAAAAATAAAATCTACTTCGTGAAGTTTAATAAGACAGCTTGGGGAGTGCTTGGGCAACAAACAAAGCTATAATTGCCTAAATCTGAATCTAGTGCCACTCATGCCAAAAACATGCCCGAACTCTTTTCTTTATGCCACTTTTAAGCCTGCAGTGAAATTCTTTTGTACCTTTCTCCATGCTAGTAGATCCATCACCTTTAAGAGTGGGATTACTTTGGGCGCCTGGGTGGCTCAGTTGGTTAAGCGACTGCCTTCGGCTCAGGTCATGATCCTGGAGTCCCTGGATCGAGTCCCGCATCGGGCTCCCTGCTCGGCGGGGAGTCTGCTTCTCCCTCTGGCCCTCCCCCCTCTCATGCTCTCTGTCTCTCATTCTCTCTCTCAAATAAATAAATAAAATCTTTAAAAATAAAAAAAGAGTGGAATTACTTTGTAGTGAAGAAACTAGAGTAGTTCAACTCTGACTGGTTTTCTATGCACCAGACATATGCTAGTCAAAAGAGAGCTAAGACTATAAAATAATGACATAAATTCTTGTGAATAATTTTTAACGGCTTCCGAAGGCAACTTGCAAAGAATTTAAGAAAAATTATTTAGTCAATGGCAGCACCACTGGAGGCAAACACCTTCCCAAGTAAATTCTTTGAAAACTCCCATTCATTTGGAGCTTTTTAAGTTATGGTATTTGAAGCTTAAAACACTATCCTCTATATTCTACAAACTATGCATAGATTTTAAAACAAGTAGATGGCTTAAGGTTAAGAAGCATTTTCAAACCTGGTTCATCATAGTCTTGGTATGTAAGGTCATCTGCAAGAAAGAAAATAAAACTCAGTATTAAATGGGTCATTCTATGTAAGTGCTTAGCTAAAAACCACAACTTAATCTCAAATACAGAATTCTATTCCTTTAAATATCAGTGTCTGCAGTCAGTGGTAAGTGCCTCTGCCCAACAACAACTAGACAAAAGGATGAGTAAATTATTTTCATAAAAATTCCTCAAACTGGCATAAAGTAAGATATGCAAAAGTAGCATTAAGGATTAATATCCTGTTTCGTCGTGGTGCCAGTGTAAATGAGCTAAAATATGAAAGCCTGATATTCCATTCATAATCTAATCTTGTTACAAGGCAAAAAGACTTTTATTAGGTGTTAAGATTACTTCTTTGACTCCTTTGAAAGAAAAATCATGTTAACATAGCATTACAACTGTAAAGCCTTGAATAAGGTTTACAATCTAATGAAAATATTCACCCAGTACCTGCTTCGTGGTTCCTTCTTTCATCATCACCTACTACAGGTTCCGTGGCATCTATAGAGAAAAATATTCACCTCTGTCAAACATGAAAAAACCAAACACATTACTAGATGCCATTCTAAAGTATTTACAAATTAATTCCAATCTTCACAACTGTGTAAGAGAGATATTATCATTATCATTCAATAAAATTTAAGCTGAATAAAGTCCCATAATTTGCTCTCTAAGTCACAAGGACAGGAAGGAGCAGAACCAGTCAGACTCCACTACACCATACTGCCTCGCCAATTTCCGAATCGCCTTCCCAGCATCCTATCTACAAAGAGCAAAGTCCCAGTTGTGGTTTGAAAAATACATCTCCTTTTTCCCTCATTCCTCCATGTAATATTAAACTATATTCAGGAATTTCTATAAATGTCTGGGCAACCAAAAATGATTGCGAGTATTATAAAGAGGACTCTGTGTTGAATCAGAGTGAATCATTTACCCCGGGATAGACTGGCCTTAGCCAGTGCCTTAAACGGAAAAACATATCACAAACCTGGATTGTCCTGCTCATACATCATTTCTTCCATATCCTGATTATAAGCCTGTGAAGCTATAAGTTAAGAAATGATTAGGAAATTACAAATATATCTCAAGAAGGATTACACTTGGTATTCAAAATAGGAAAAGCCCAATATCCAGTAATGCCAGAAATGTAAAATCAAATCATAATGACGCTCACATTTATATTCACTCATGGAACACCCAGGTACTACCTTTGTGAAATGCCAAATACAAAGATGAATGAGATAGTCCCCATCACCAATGGGTTTATAATCGAACCACAAACTTTAGATTATGCAAATTCAACTATATTCAGCAAAAGACTAATGAGACCGAGAGAGACAGAGACCACAGAGATGGCGGGGCAGGTGAGCCCTCCTCCCATCCACTCAGCAAGCACCAGCCGCAAGAGTGTGCCTGAGGAAGGGCACACACACTTCCCAGCCCCTCACACTTGGACTCAGTACCTGAGTACTCCCAGACCGCAATACAGTTCTAGTATTTACAAATACATATTGTTGAAATGATGTAGGTCCTAAATGCTAGCCAAGAGTATCATGTGGTCCTCAAACACAGAGAGAGGGATCTATTCCAGCACTGGAAGAAAAACTGGCCAACACAGGCTTACTGAAAGATGACATGTCCATCTCCAGTGTGGCCATATCTTCTGGGGATGCATGACCAGTGACAATACACAATCTTGATCTTTCATTGACTTTGTAATTTAAGGCTACAAAACATGTACTTCTACTGTATCTCTTGGCCTAGCAATCCCACTACTGGGTGTTTATCTTCAGGAAGCAGACCTCAAAAGCACAAAAACTATATTCACAAAGAAACATATACATGAAATTATGACACCATATATGTTATATATAACAATTAACTACATATTATGTATTTTATGACATATTATAAAATATATTAATAGATAATCATAGATAATATTTTCTCTTTCTCATGATGTTCTTTTTATAGGAAAAGACTCATTCTAATTAAAAAAAAATATTATTAAGTTTAAATCTCACCTGTCTCTTCTACATGGTAACTATCTTCAGTTTCTGAAAAGAGTAACATCAAATCAATAGCAGTACTTTCATAAAATTGTATGTATATATACTATAGATGCATACCCTCAATCTATGCTTGCCACTGATTTTATTTTGAAAGCAAATAATTATTAAAATAAAACATGAAAATATCCATTAACTGTTTGCTGAACACTTCATCTTTTACTAGAACTACACATTCTCTTCGACCCACTCAACACCACCACAGCCTGGACTAATGAGAGGATGATTTGAACAGAGTAACACAGTGACAAGGCTGGACCCAGGAAAGGGGCTATCTTAGTCTACTTCACATTCCGCTGTGGTGTCTTGTTTTCTAGAGCAAAAGCACAGTGTCTACAGATGGGAACACAAGGAAAGACAGAGGAGACTTTCTAAGATGGGGAGCTGAAAGGTAAATGAGTTCATAATTGAACCCAGACCCCCAATAGCAAAATGCTCCCACTACAGGATCCTCACTACTCCACTGACCCTTGTTAATGTAACAACTATATGAAGTGTAAATATTTTTCATTTCTGAAGACTTTCAATAAACAACTTTTAGGTTCACACTGAATCTATGTCCCAATTAAAGATTAGGTCAGAAAGTACGCTTTTCTCGATTTATAAACTTTTTAGGAGTACTTCTTCCTACCCCTAATCTATAACTCCTAACCTCAAAAATACCAAATTCCTTGTTTCAGATAATTTGAGTGTCTTAACTGTCTTAACTGCAATGTGTTATTTAAGCAGCATCTAAGATACCAAAATTCTGAGTAACTGTCAGTCTTCCTGAGCCATGTTGGCCGAAGACAGGAGGGAGCAAGAGATGCCAGGGGAAGTGTGGAAATCATTTTATCAGCATCCCTTACTTAGAAATTAGAAGCATTTTTTTCCCCAGAGAAACTGTAACATACATGATAATTAAAGGCCTGGGGCGCCTGGGTGGCTCAGTCATTAAGCGTCTGCCTTCGGCTCAGGTCATGATCCCAGGGTCTTAGGATCGAGCCCCGCATCAGGCTCCCTGCTCCGCGGGAAGCCTGCTTCTCCCTCTCACACTCCCCCTGCTTGGGTTCCCTCTCTCGTTGTGTCTCTCTCTGTCAAATAAATAAACTCTTTAAAAAAACTGATAACTAAAGGCCTAAAGTTCTTTTTTTTAAAAAAAAATTTATTTATTTGAGAAAGAGAGGGAGAGAGAGCGAGTGGGGAGGGGCAGAGGGAGAGGGAAAGACAGCCTCAAGCAGACTCCATGTTGAGCATGGAGCTGACATGGGGCTCAATCTCACAACCCTGAGATCACGACCTGAGCCAAATCCACAAGTCAGACGCTTAACAACTGCACCACCCAGGCGCCCCAAAGGTCTGAAGTTTTAAAGCTGGTCTATAAATGCTTACTTTTAATGCACAGTGCAGCTAAACTCATATACAAGCTCAAAATCATTTTGAGTGTACATTTTTCATAGAAAATTATGCATTATATACAATTTTGTAGGTTGGTATGGGAATTAAACCATCACTTACAACATTATTTCTATGGAAAAGCATATTTCCTGCTTTCAACAATAAGCATGAATGTAAGTTTTTGGAAATATATTCACTCATAAATCAAGAGCTTCTTGCTTCTAGCTTCCCAATACATTAAATATTGTGAAAAGGAGATATACTTTACTTTTTCATTACTTTTTTATGCTGGAAAAAAAAGTCTTAGCAACCATTTACCAACTGTATTGTGACCAGGCTAGCTCGCCACTCAATTTTTAGCCTCTACAAGTGCTGTCTCCACCGGATTCCCCCTGGCTATGAGCATGGAGGCACACGCCTTAGCCTGGTCACACCCAGCAGCCTGGGACATGACGGGAGACATGTGAAAAAATCACCAGGCTGGCCACAGTGCTGCTCAACCTCCGCTGCACTTGGATATGACCTGGGGAGCTTTGACCATGATCCGTTTTAGAGGCTCCACACCCCAGACATTCTGATTCACTTTGTCTAGGGTGGGTGAGAGCATTCTTTTAAAAGCTCTCTACGCGATCTTGATTGCATCCAAGACTGAAAACTATTTGTAGGGATATCAAGCACATCTTTTATGGACCATATTCACAAGAAATTCCCTCTCTGAATCCAAGACCTTATGGCTCTGGACCCTTCCTACCTTCATTAGTGCTGTGGATTTCACTTATTACTTGTTTCTCACAGTCTTTCTACTTGCCTGAACTTGACTGAGGCTTAGCTAATCCTTAAACACTGCCAGATACCTCTTACCCAGATCCTTTGTGGCTTGTGGGGCTATGCTTTTGCATGGGTCCTGAAGCAGCTCAACCACAGACTCTGATGATTATTATGTGGTGGAACATAATGGGCTATATGGTTTTGTGTGGGTGCTGTCAACCTTTTTTTTTAGTTTTACTCTTGAGAAATGAAACATCCATCTCAAACAATATTTCAGTAGTATTCATTTTATGTATACAATTATATACATACAATTATATCATTTATATACTTCTACACTCTAAATAAAACATCATTAATCAATCAGAATACAACTTGTGGATTAAAATCTTTCAGGGCGCCTGGCTGGCTCAGTGGGTAAAGCATGTGACTCTTGATCTCAGGGTCGTGAGTTAAAGCCCCACATTGGGCATAGAGCTTACTTTAAAAATAAATTAATTAAAAAGTTAAAAAAAAATCTTTCAAGAACTCATTAAAGTCTTAGAGGGCCACCTTAAAAAAGAACGGAGAATAGATACCATAAGAACAAAGCATGTGTGCTTATTTAACAAGGCTTCAAATAAATAACCGTGGTAGTATCACATTAAAACATAGCAGAACTCAAAATACATGAGAAAAAGTTTTCAGCATTACAGAAATTACTTCCTTCTATATGTCAACAGTGAATAACTGTAGCTCTAACTTGCCTTCTGCAAATGATCCAAGGTAAGCTACTCAGTGGATATTTAAATAACCAGCATTTAATGGAAGATACTGACACAGAAGAGATGTCAGCAAACTATGGTCTGTAGCCCAGAGCAAGCCCACCTCCTGATTTTGTACATAAAGTTTTCCTGGAACATGGTCATACGTACCCATTTAGGTATTATTTAAGGCTACTTCTGCAGTATGACAGCAGAGCTGAGTAGTTTCAATAAAGGCCATATGGTCTGCAAAGCCTAAAATATTGATCCTCTAGCTATTTACAGAAAAAGGTTGTCAATGCCTGGTACAGAAGCTAAGAATTGTGTTCTATAAGCTGTGCCTATGGAGTTCATGTTAGAGCAAGAGACTGTGATAGATTGCCAAGTAAAATATTTCATCAGTTTTCTGAATTTCTTCTAATACATGGCACTCTAGGAAGAAGTGTACAGTAAACGTAATGTGCTAAAGCATTTCACTTACTTTCTATAAGGAACTTATATATTCTGACAGTTTCCTTAAAAAAGTGCTTTGAATCAAAATCAAGATATCTACTTATTTTAGGGAAAAAATTAGTTTCACCAGCTTCCACTTAAAAATAAACTTCAGATAAAAATTAAATATTGGTTTTAAAGGTGTTTAAGAAAGACTTCAATAATCATAATTACAAAGTGTCTACTGGGTTTTATTCTGAAACCAAAAAAATGTGTCCTACCTTCATGAAATGTTCTAGTCTCCAGGGACTCAAATCTATCATCTGCATCACCTCCTACGAGGAAATCATCATCTTCCAGTTGTGGTTCTCTCGCTTGTCCATCCTCTTCTTGTTGCACATCGTCTCCTTGAATGATCACAATGAACAGAGTTACATGAGTCCACAACAAGGGCCCACAGACAACAGCCAACACGGACGCATAAGTCGCTTCCGAAAGGCTGCCACATACCCACTCCTGCTGCCGGGCACTCGCGGCCCCTCGTCTGGGCCATGGCACAGGCTGTTGCCCACCCTGAAGCTCTGCCCTCACTCTGGTCAAGTGCTAGTCCACCTGAGGGTGGGAGGGGGGAAGGCCTTCTCTCACTAGAACATGAACTCACCAAGCACAGGGACCTCATATATTTTATTTACCATGTATGCCCAGCACTCAGGGCCATGCTTAACCATAGGAAATGCTCAGTAAGTATTTAAGGAATGAATAAATGAATTCGTAATTGTTAACGTATTTGCCTCTTCTATTATCACCAGGTTAGAGGGATCACCTTGTGACCTCGCACTGAGAATTGTCCTAAAACTCCACGTAACAATCTTAAATAACTCCATAAAATGTTCTATTGCGAAGAACAGCCAGCTACCTCTCTCCGCCATGTGCTAGGTCATCTGCATGAGGTCAACTGTACTGTACTTTGCATCTAAAGGTTGCCGTGTGGAGCCTGTGACTTATGCAGAAATGCCCACTTTTCTCTTCTGAGACTAACTTTTATGATATACTAAGCTCTTCTGCTTCTTTTGTGTAGGTGTTGGATAGGCTACTTATCCCGCTGCAATATGGTTTAGCTTGTTATCTTGGTGTAAAAAGTGCTCCCAAGGTAACCTGACGTGGCTTCAAGCACAGTATGTCCTATACATAATACTCTAACCAAGCAACACAAGTGACTTAGCTGTGCTCACAGGGCAGTAAAATGGTTAGAAGTGTGGGGTCTCGAGTGTATGGCTCCAAATCCACACCAGCTGTGTGACCCCAGAGACGTTATGTAACTACTTTGTGCCAAGGACTTTTCTTCCATAAAAAGGAAATAGTAAGAGTACCTACTTAGAGCGTTGTTGTGAGGATTAAGGCACTTGGAAAACTGCCCAGCCCATAACAAGCATTTAGGTGTTACTGCTCTTGTTGTGTTATTCTTATCATCATCATCACCATCATCATCATCATCGTAAGGATATTACTGTTTCTGCTGCTACTAAACTCTCCTCAAACACTGCAGGAAGCCTTCCTTCCCTCACCTTTAGTATGGAATAGCGACACTCTCCACTGCTACTGAACCATGTAAGCCCACTTATGGCCACTCTATTTATTTGTTTTCTGTCTTTCCAACACAGCCTGCTACATTGTTTCTCCTCGTTTCAGATTTTCTGCCAATCGGCAAACCAATCACCAATTCTAATTCCTCTCACTGATTTTATCATGCCCCCTTTTCCATATTCTTTTTTCCTTACTCTTGTGTTATCCAGTGCAACTTTATGGTTTTCACATGAGCAGGATTTAGCTCTTGGCCACTGCCCGTTACTTAATGGAAGGTCCCTGTTTTCAGTAGGGAAACCAACCGAATATCATGCATTATCTGAGTCTCCCTTGCTCAATCAGTGACAGCCCGGTACGAGCAAAACAGTTCCCTGCAGGCCGACTACATCTGCGGCACTGCCAAGCCCTCTTCGGCCATTACAGTAACCCCAGGAAGTAGGTACTATTACCCCCCTTCGAAGGATGAGGAACTTGAGAAACTCGGCTAAAGCCCCACAGCGAGTACATGGCAGCCACAGGCCCTGAAACACCGCGAGGAAGCACAGAAGGCCCTGGACAGAGAGTCTGCTGCAGAGATGGTGGTCAGGGAGGCCATGTTTCATCGGGTAAGATGTGAAGACCGGAACACACACATACCAGCAAGAGATAATAACACGTACAAAGGCCCGAGGCAAACAGACTCGGCAATTATAAGGAAAAGAGAGGCATTTGGGCTGCAGAAAAGTGACTGAGAGGAGGAAAAGAAAAAGACCAGGTCCACATAAGGCCCATCAAACACCCAACTGGACGCCGCTGCAGCAGCAATGCGGGAGGGGACGGTGACGCTGCCACACTGCGGTCCAGATACGTGCTGGAGGCCAAGCTGGCAGGACCTGCCCGTGGGTCCCATAGGAGGTGAGAAGAGGAGAGAGAAAAATAAGGAAAACTCCCCGGTCTTTAGCTTAAGCTACTAAGTAGAGGGGAGACCAAGACCTAACATATAAAAGAGTGGAATAAAAGCAAAATTTTAGGGGGTTGGGGGGAGAGCTATGAAATGCAAAGGAATCAAGAATTCTGTTTAAGTGCATTTTGAGTCTGAGATACCCATAAAACATGCAAATGAAGATCAACAGGCAGCTGGATAAACCAGGAGCTCAGAGGAGATAGGGCTGCAGATACATACTCAGAAGCAACACAAGTAACATTTAAAGCCATGGCCTCTGTGAATTTCTAAGTAAAGAACACAGTAAGTCCAAGAGGAAGGCTTGTGGCCAGAAACCCAGGCATGCTAGACTTGATTCGGCCCCCTTCTGTCTGGTTTCGTACACCCACCCACCCAAATGTCTACCGTATCGTCCCACGTTTCTCTCTCCCCACCTTGGCTAAATTTGGTTCAACCAACCATCCTGACCGACTCAGATCACCAGTAGAGCCCCCCAACTCCTCTCCCCCCCAGCATGCTCCCTCTGCTCATGTTCACACTGCAGAAAGAAGGCACAGCACTCCCTGGCGCCCTCCAATGGTTCCTATCCCTCTGTGAATCGAGTACAAACACCCTTTCCCAATCACTCTCCACCTAGGTACACCATTGGCCGGTCACCCCGAACTACTCTTGGATCCTCTTTTCCTCTGGGCTTGCCCACGGGCCACACCCTTTGCTCAGAACCCTCCCCGAACAACCACCACCTGGCAAAGCATGACGCCATCCTTCGGCTACTAAGTCAGAAAGTCACCTCTTCGGAGAAGCCTTTGGTAATGCCAAAGTCTATGCAAGGCCCACACAGCCATTACAGTTCACCATTAAGGCACCGACCTCATCATACTGAAATCACTGACTTGTTCAGACTGCATCACCCTTGTGTTAGGTTAAAGTGAAAGAAAAGATGCAGGAAGGGAAGTCCTGTGCTTGCCGACAGAGGCAGACGCATGCTCAGGTGCAGTGGCTTTCCTGGCTGAGCAGAAGCCGGTAATGAAAGGACACAGGCTCTGAGACCGCGGAGGGCTGATGGTGAAAGCCTACAGCTCAGCCGCAGCGGGTCTCCCCAGCACAGCACAGATGGAGCTGGATGGGTGCTTTACACGTAACTCCCAAACACCTAAGACTGAGTAAGACAGCTTAGCAGGCCTGCTAAAGCAGTTTCAATGATAGAGAGTCCCAGTCGTTTTTAAGAAATATACTTTTTTTCCTTTAGGACTCTCTCCAGCTCACACCAAACCATTAGGCGTATCAGGCTGCCATGTGTTCTGCCTTCTTCGAAATCCCTTTGTGAGTCACATCTTGGGGTTATACTCTCTGCTTTTATCAAGGGATGTTTCAAAAAACAGTCTCATAAAATCTTAAAGCATGGGTTTCTAAAGTATCATTTAATATTCTCTGTACAGAACTACATATAAGAAATGCTTTAGATGTAAGAGCTGGGGAAATGTTTTATACTCTCTAAGTAGACAGCATGTTCATTTCCTCTCTGGTAACATAACCAACGTAATTAAAAGTTTCTCTTTTTGCTATGGTGACCACCCAAGCATGCAGCCAGGTTCAGCTGATGACAGCTTCCAGATAGCCCATTACAGCTTGCTTGGTTGTGTTCTATTTTCCTCTTCCCTGTTCTTGCCATCTGTTCTTAATGTATCATTGGTCTTAACTTGTTTATTCTCATTTATTCTAACCATTTCTTTATTAAATCTATGCGATAATTTCCTTAACAGTAAGGCAGCGTAAGATAAAACGAGTCTAGTGCTCTTTCAGAAATACTTGTCCTCCAATAATTAAAAAAAACACTCAATTATGATTTAAATTTAAAACTAATGTCTAAGTCACTTTATGTAATTAACCATTATTTGAGCAAGCAATGCATGAGAAAATGGATTTTAACTCATACCATGTTCTGTGTAGACTGCCTCATGGAGAAGGGGCTGAATTTGTTCTTCTACTTCATCTTCAATATTCCGAGGTCCTAAAATGATTACAAAACATAACTAAGTAGAAAAAAATCTAGATATTAACGAAGAACATGAAACATGACCTCCAGGTACACACATTCAAATGAATATATTTGGTTCATCAACTATGCTACCTTTTCATACCCGTTTGCCACTTTTTTTTTTATATGTTGGCAAACACAGTAAATATTTAAGATTGGTTTTATTTTATTTTTTTTAAGATTTTATTTATTTGCGAGAGAGAGAATGAGAGACAGAGAGCATGAGAGGCAGGAGGGTCAGAGGGAGAAGCAGGCTCCCCGC